CAGTCCCGACCAGAACTCTAAAAATATGTCTTGATATATATTAACCTCTTTTAGGACTTTTGGCTCTCAAACAAATAACGGAGGACAGAGGGGTTTTTTTCCCCCTCCCCTTTTACTCTCTGAATTAAGAGTCCCTGGCTATATTTTTCCCTTTTTCCTCTTTAGCTGTGCTGGGAAGAACATGAGGGAATGTAGTTAAAATTCAAAAAGGTTCCCCTTTATCATTACCATGAATCAACACAATAAATGAGCCCCTTCAGAGCACGGTAATAAGAATTTGATAAATCATCAGCCAAAAATTAACTAGATGTCAAAACAATCTTTGGGAAGTGTGATGGATTAGGGGCGATAGTGGCAATTAATCTCCCAGCATGAGTTCACAGGAGAGACTGAGCGCTGGGAGATGGATAGGGGGGAGACCAAGGCCTCACAAGGTCAGGACACTGCGGAAAGGAGTGAGAGAGGCAGAGAGAGACGGGGAGAAGAAGGAAAAAATTCCACTGAGTCGGCAATACCCGGCCCCGCAGCCGAGGGAGAGGTCGGTCACACGCCTTTGAAAACCTCTCCGTCTCCAGCTGCTCTCGGTGATGAGGAAGCACTTTCTGCTCCTGTAATAAATGCCACGAGGCAGCTCCCGGGTCCAGCACACGGCTGGGGAGAGCAGGAGCACGGGATGCTCCGCTCCAAAACCGGGAACGGGCGGCTGGAGGAGACAGATCCTCCTCTGGCGTGGAAATCCATCCACACAGGGCCTGGCAGGGGGGGCACGTGGCCTGGCTGATTCTGCCTGGGCACAGGAGGGGGGAGTGCAGGAGGGAAGGGCTGCTGCAGCCACAGACCCCTACCCAGCTGGAGAAACCTCCCCCAGGCTCCCACCCGGCGGGAGGGTCTGCAGCCCTGGCAGAGCTGGGGCAGTGCTCCCACCCTGCACCATCCAGGTGAGCTGGGGAATGCTCCCACCCTGCACCATCCAGGTGAGCTGGGCATTGCTCCTGCCCTGCACCATCCAGGTGAGGGGGCAGTGATCCCACCCTGCACCATCCAGGTGAGCTGGGCATTGCTCCTGTCCTGCACCATCCAGGGGAGCTGGGGCAGTGATCCCACCCTGCACCATCCAGGTGAGCTGGGCATTGCTCCTGTCCTGCACCATCCAGGTGAGGGGGCAGTGATCCCACCCTGCACCATCCAGGTGAGCTGGGGAATGCTCCCACCCTGCACCATCCAGGTGAGCTGGGCATTGCTCCTGTCCTGCACCATCCAGGGGAGCTGGGGCAGTGATCCCACCCTGCACCATCCAGGTGAGCTGGGCATTGCTCCTGTCCTGCACATCCAGCCACGTCTCCCATGGCCAAGCTGGGCCAGCAGGACCCCTCTGCCCACCCCAGGAGAGCCTCGAGCAGGGCAGGGCTTGCAGAGTGGCCCTGCTGGGCCAGCTCAGTGTAGGTCCCACAGAGGCAGGGCCACAGCTCCTGGTGTGCAGGCATTTGGGTAGGCAACCCTGGGTAGGCAGAGCCCTTCCACTCAGCTCAGGGATTATCTTCACCTGTGCTGGTGAGCTTTGTGCCTCAGTTCCTGACAGCAGCACAGGCTCCCAGCACGAGTGAGACATCGTACAACTGAAAATATCTGCTGTGAGTCAGCTCAGCCTCCCTATCTGCTGCCCCAGGGATTGCCAGCTCACCCAGCACAGCAGCTACTCCCCGTTCTCCTGTTCTCCTTCCCCACCTTCTCCTTCCCCACCGTGCCCAGCCCTCGGTACTTCCATGTACAACAGGCTCTGCTGTGCTGGCAGGGCCAGATCCTGCAGGGATGAGCACCAGGGGTACTGGCATACACTGCCAGAACTGGCCAACTCATGACCTTCCTTCTCTGTGCAAAATCTGTCACCTGGAATCCTTTGCAATCCAAACGGGGGGGGAAAGGGTGATGAAAGCAAACACCAGTTCAGGCATCGCCTGGCAGGGCTCTGCTGGCTGCTCACACCATGCCAGGCTCAGGGTGACACCTGAGCCTGACACACACTCAGATCAGGGTGACACTGGGGGCTGGGACGAGCCCACAGGAGGCTTTTTTGGGAGCGACCACAAGAACACAAGTAACTGCCCTGGCCCCTGTGCTGTGGCTCTGTTCCATCCCTCTGAGGGGTGACCAGGAACGGAGACCCGGGCAGAGCAGCTGGCAGAGGGCAGGAGGGAGCTCTGCACAGTCCCATTGCTCTGCTCGTGACCTGAGAGCCTCTCAGAGGGGACAAGAGCACATGAAAGTGGGACTTTGAACCTGGGCTGTCAAAGTGGAGCCTGGGAGTAGCAGTGCTTGTGAAGTGAGAAAAGAAGTGGGAGCACCAGCTCTGATGGCTTCACTCCTGCACATTCACGCTGTTGATAGCACCTTTCTTAAATATTTGCATCCTTAAGAAGCAGCAGCCTTTTATTTTTTTTTTTAAATTACATTTTTCACGATTTTAACTGCGTTACTCATCCAGTTCTGTGTAAGAGACAAATGCCTGGCAAATGTTGGGATGCTGCTGGCTGCTTGGTGCATATCAATGTCAGAGAGATTTCGGAAGGAGAGGGAGAGAGAGGGAGAGAAGAAAACACCCTCCCAGCTGGAACACTCTCCCTGAATGCCTGTCTCTTCTCAAGACAGACAAGGCTTGGATAGGACAGATGTTTCCACCCAAAAGCAGATGTGAAGATGTTACTTTCCCAGGGAGGAATGTGGTGGGGTTTATTATTAACCAACAGTCCCCACACGACAGCTCCCCTTGACCAACAGTTGGAAAACCTGGAAAAACATAGAGCCCTCTAATCCAAGTGGTGGCAGGAAACGCTGATGGACTCCACTGATTTATTATTATTAATTGCAACCTGGAAATGACCAAGAACATCTGGGAGGGCCAAATGTGGGAGAGGAAGAAAGCTCGAGCAAAGAGGCCGAGTTTTGGATCCCATGATGGGCTCAGAGTGCTGCTGAACTCCAGGAGAAGCAGCTGGAAAGGCAGCCTGGGCAGGCTCTGGGAGGCAGGAGCGAGGGGGGGTCACACAACCAGCACCAGTCCTGGGGTACAGCGAGGAGGGAGGGACAGGGCAGGCAGGTGCACGTGGATTTTGCTGAACTGAGGGGCCAGTTGAGCTTCACTAAAAGCTCTGGGTTTCTTCAGTCCTGCTGCTCCGTAAAACCTACACACTTCCAGATTTCCAAACAAACACTGAGTCATCCATTACCTAATGTAAAGTCAGACATTCTCTGCTGCCAGCCCCACCTCGGGACACCTGGACACTTTCCCACCAGGTACCCCAGAGTCCAGGCTCCTGACACACACACACAGCTGTGGTCAGCCCACAACCTGAGAGCTCCTAAAACATCTGTTTGTATTTTCAGAGCAGTATTAACGCTGTCAGGCCGTGGCAGATCTGCTTAATTTTCACAGACATATGTATAATACACAAGCCAAAATACACTTAAAATGGGACATGTCAGAAAATAAACAACTATTAAGTAATGAAATATAAAGGAAGTTGGTTCCTGCACTTTCTCTCTCCCACACACATCCCCTGCAGCCACAGGTCCATCATCTCCTCGTGACTCCCTGCTCAGCCTCACGCCCAAAAACTTCTACAGGAAAATACAGCTGCTTCCAATGGCCAAAGTGTCCATCCTTTCCCAGGAAGCTTTAAAAAAAGCCCAACACCCACGTGAAAAATCAGCCTCACCGTACCCTCCCCACATCCCCAGATTTGTAGAAATTGAACCTGAACAGGTTATTTCCACCCCTGCCCTTTCCCTAATTTATTCTGTGAGGTATGTGCAGCTGAAACCAACTGCTCTGAGGTGAGGAGAAGTGCCCCCTAATTGGGAACAGCATCTCCAAGGGGCTTTTCCAACGAGGTGCAGATTTCTCTGGCACACATTGTCGGAGCTGAAGGCAGCATAATGAAGTCCAGAACTTTTAGGTTTCCCCTTTAATATATCCATCATGTCTAGATCCATTATTGACATGTTGACTTTCTTGTTTCTGATTTAAGCTGCCAGACTCGGTAAAATTGCCTTGACAGCTTTAGCATTTGTGGCAGAACACTGACATGATGTTACTTACAGCTAATTAAAGTTGAGAGCATAATAAACAATCCTGGGATCCTAGCAACCCAATTTCCTCGGGTATTCAGCTCGCTGGATCTTGACCCGGGTTCTTTGAAGCTCCAGCAAATTCTTTGAGTGACCTCCCTGCTCCGAGGGTGCTTTGGAAACCAGGGCTGGAAAACACCGGGAACGCGGGGGCACGGCCTGTCCAGAGGAGTGGGGAGGGACAGGAGACAGGGCTGGGGGACTGCTGGGGAAGTGGGAACCTGTGGGATGCTGGAAGTGGCTTCCCAAGGCCACTCCACCGAGCGGAGACGGGCCAGTGGGTCGGAGCTAATTAGTGACGCGGTGAGAGAGAGCAAAGGGAAATTCAGAGTGATCACCAGGAAACCTCACCTCTGGTGAGCTCTGCTGGGCTGCAAAACGCTCTGGAGGGAAGCAGAGCAAAGCCCACTGCTGGAGTCACTGAGAGCTGGCTGGCTCTGCAGTGCAGAGCTGGGGGACCCCGGCGAGTGGGAACCAGGGAAATCACAGGAGCAGCTTTTCTGTCACTAGTCCAGAAGGTCCTGGAAACTTCAACTGCATCAGTTCATTCTCCTTTCCTCTCCTGTGCCACCTCCAAACCAGCTCGTTTCACACACAGGGGCCTATCACAGTGTGAAATTACACACCCACAGAAGAGAAAGATCAGTTCAGGCAAGGGCAAGATCTCGCCTTTTCCTCTGATGAACATCTTTTTGTTACTTATTTTGTTATAATAACAAAAGAATAAACCTTGCCATACCCAAATCAGATTCTCAGAGCTGACTCAGCCAGCAAAATCAGCATTTTTTTCTTGTCTGCAGTGAATCAAAAATCGCTACTCACTTGTGCAGAATCAACTGAAATTTGAGGTGAATTAAATCCAAAATCTCCCTCTGTTCCTACAAGTGACTGACATGTCTTCTTTATTGCCAGTTTCTTGAGTGCTATTGGACCGATTTCTCCCATTTTCACTGTATCTCCTCATTCTGCAAAGTAGGGCAACAACAACATTTCACGTCTCTTGCAAAGACTCAAATTTCAGAGCGACACCCGCTCTGTGAGTCATTAGAGCCACTGAACGTTGTTAGAGCAAACAAAGGTGAAGTTGTATTAAGTTAAACCTCAATGAAAAAATGTTCTAGTTCCAGCATGTTGACTTGCATTTGTGCATATGAAGAGCAACTGCTGAATCACAGTGAGGTGATGATGCATCTGACATGTGGATAGATAATCTTTAACTGACTTGGTAAGCCAGTACAAAGGCTGTGGCGCTGCTCTTAATCTCTTAATTCACCTTAAACCAGCCTGAAACCGAACCTCGTGTTCTCACAGTGCTTTATTGCACTGAGAGAGCTTTCATGACTCTTCTTAAAAAGACAGAACTTCTGGGCCCTGGAGGTGAACCAAAGCATGTGCACCCTGTGAGAGAAAGGCCCTGTGAGCCCAAGCCGTACCCTGGTGCACGTGTGGTGACTCCAGGGATCCCAAGGACATCTCTGTGCAACTGCTCCAAGTCTGCACTTAGAGGATGAAAACAGTATTTTACACTTTGGTGGACGCTGAACCGCCTCTGGATTTTGCAAATCCCCGTTCCCCATTCCACACTCCACAGGGCAGAGAGCAACTCCTGACCAAGTGAAGTGAAAAGCTTGGGGGCTAACAAGTCCCAGAGCAGAACATCTCCCTGGGCCTCTAGTGAAGAGCAGTGCCACCACCCCTGACCAGCAGTGCCCACTGCTGTGGGAGAGTGGGATTAATCATCCAGGGCTGGATGACCTGCCTGCTCCTGACTGGAGCTGCCACGGAGCTCAACCACCTGACAAACCTGGCTGGAAGTGCTGCAGAGGGAAGTCTTTTCCCAAAGGCAACAGTGGGACCTGGGAAGCAAAGGCAGTGCAGAAGGAATGCCTCTCTGGAGGAATTTCCTCCTGGACAGTGAAGGGGGATCCCTTGTCCCCCGTGCCATCCTTTCCCGGGAGCCAGGGAGGACAGACTCTGTGAGGTTGGAGGTGCAGAGAAGACACCTGCTCACAGCACTCACTCCCATCCAGGTTTCACTCCCCATTTTGGTGCTCCCAGTTTCCCAGTGTTCCACAGCCCTGCCCTTCATTTCAGTCCATCAGCAGCAGGACGTCCTCGGGGCGGGCAGGTGCAGAGAGGTGGATGGCAGGGGGACAGCAAAGGAAAAGGAGCGTTCACATTCCCAAACCCTCTGCCAAAATCCCAGATCCCCCAAACCCTTGCACCCTTCCCTGTCTCCAGAGCAGTAAATGCAGCAGCTCCCCCGAATTCCCCGCAGGGAGAGGGGGAGCAAGGACCAGGAACCCCAACTCCGGCCGCGGGCGCCCGCGAGAGCAGCTTCTCCTTCCTTTTGTCCTGGCTGGGGCCCTCTGCAGTTCCCGTTCATTCCAACCCTTTATTCCTCACTTTCAGCCCCTTGTTCCCTTCCAGCTGGGCCGTGTGTGTGCTCTGGAGCTGCAGTGGGAAAGGTGGAGCGCGGTGACCCCTGGTCATCAATCACTGCCTGCGCGGCCGCTTCACAGCCAGAGCCTGATTATTGGCCCTGGGGAGCCGTGCAGGGGAACGGGAGGGGAGTGAGTCCATTTCCTGCCGCCAAACCGCCGACATCAACTCACACCGGGGGGCTGCAGCCGCGGGGGAGAGCCTGGAAACGGGATCCATCCGTGGGAGGGGACGGGGCGGGATCCACGCGCTGCTGCGGGTGCGTGTGAGCACACGTGTGTGTGTGAGCACACGTGTGTGTGTGAGCACACGTGTGTGTGAGAGCACATGTATGTGTGTGAGCACACGTGTGTGTGTGTGAGCACACGTGTGTGTGAGCACACGTGTGTGTGAGAGCACATGTGTGTGTGAGAGCACATGTATGTGTGTGAGCACACGTGTGTGTGTGTGTGTGAGCACACGTGTGTGTGTGAGCACACGTGTGTGTGTGTGTGTGAACACGTGTGTGTGTGTGAGCACACGTGTGTGTGTGTGTGTGTGAGCACACGTGTGTGTGTGAGCACATGTGTGTGTGTGAGCACACGTGTGTGTGTGTGAGCACACGTGTGTGTGTGAGCACACGTGTGACCACACAGACCCGGCCACGTGGGACTGCCCCGTGCAGCAGAGGGGCAGCAGCCCGGAGGATACACTGGTTAAACCAACAGCAGGCAAAACCTTGGACTAAAACCAGGATCCAACCCTTGATGGCTGGATCCTTGGATGGATCCAGGCTGGCTTTCTCCAGGCTGGGATTCACACCACTGCACCTGAAAAGCTCAGGGCTTTTTCAGTGGTAGCCCCTAAAAACGGCAAGAAAAGCTTACAAAAGTTTAGACCACAGCTCTGTCTCAGATTCCCAGAAAAACCCCAAACTAAACAACCACCACCCCACGCCCCGTTCTGAGTTTAGGCTGCGGGGTGTGAAGGGTTTTACCTCTGGGCAATGAGCTGTGGCAGCAGGAAGCCGTGTTGCCAAATACCTGCCATGCTTCCAGGGATGACAGGAATCCATCCCAACAGCCAGGAGGAAACAAAACAAAACCCCACACAACCACCACATGATCAACACTGGAAGTATTTATAACTGAGATCCCAGAGTCCTGGTGTCTAGGAAAGCTGGGTGATTGCATCCTGACATTCCTACTGCCAAGGAACAAACGGGGATGGCAAGTACAACTGGTAACAATTTTCTAAAATTGCAGAAATTTCTCGTTGTTTTCTTTTTTTTCTTGGTTAATAGTTCTTTTGTCCTGACTCTAGACATTTTGCTAATCAGTTTATATCATATGGGAGCTATCAGCAGAGACAGTCAAGCCTGGGGATATGTAAAACCTTTCCATTGCCTGAAGAATCCAAGGAGACCTTTGACACTTGCAAAATTCCCTTGCAAGGGAAGGGTAAGGGAGCAAAGTCAGAGCCAAAATCTGCAAAGTTGTCTCTTCATTTGCTTTCAAACAGAATCTTAGAAGTTTCCCCTGGAGATATCACGTTTTTATGGGGCAGCAACAACTGAGGGACTGTTTTGCCAGGGCCACTTCTTCCCATCCTCTTGGCTCTGTGTCTTGCCCACTCCTCACCCGTGGTCTCTCCTGGCCGTCTGGCAAAACCAGCAGCACCTCTGCTGGAGCAGGGATGGTTCCCTGGAGCCACGTCCTCTGAGACAACACCATTTCATCAGGGCACTTCCAGCTGAACACACGTGTTCCTCCAGCCTTGGTCTCCCAGGAAAAAAACCACCCCAAACCCAGCCAGAACCCACCCCACCACGCCGGAAACCACGGGAGGGGCCGAGGGGAGGTGCCACAGCAGCCTCTGCTTGGCAGCCCTGCACGTCTTTTCCCTTTCCTATTGAAATAAATGGAACGTGGAAATTGGGGAAACCGAACCAGTCAATTGGAAGCAACAGGGCAGAACCCCCAGCCCTGCAGCCGAGCTGCCACCGCGCTGTCACCGAGCTCTGCGGCCACAGGGACTCCCCCCGTGTCCCTGATTATCCAGAGCATTGATCCCCAGCCCAGGCTCAGCCCCGGCGCTGCCACGTCAGGCTCTGGGCTGGCTCAGGAGCACCAGGGCCCCGAGGTGTGCCAAGGGAACGGTGTCAGCAGCTCTGCCCTGTGCATCTGAGCAAGAAGTGCCCGGCAGAAAAAAAAAACCGGACCCGTTTGCCATTGCAACTATATCAAACCTCCTCCAAAAAGTCACTTCGAGGTCACTGTTTTTGACCAGTATTTCAATACATTAAATGCAATTACTTCATTGTTGATTTACCTGTCATTAGAGGCATGTGTTTGAACATGATTTATTGAGTGAGTTTTGTGCCAGTTGACTTGCAATAGATTGCACAATATTCAAAAAGGCTCATTTGCTTGGCATTACATTAGAAGCAGGGTGATTGCAACACAAAGCAATGTAAATGAGTTCTGAGAGGCTCCATCATTCATGTTGTCATGTACTGAATCCTATTATTATTTATTACCATAATTGTACTGTGTTTCCTGGGGCGATAAATTAGGACTGATGGGTCCCGCTGACAGCCAAGGACTGGACTCGCTCTATATAATTTAATAGGGATACTGTTGGATCTCTGCTTGGAGGAGACTTAGGGAGGAATTTAGTAACTAAGCAAAATCCTTTCTTAAAAAAATTAAAAATAAAATAAAAGCAGTGAAGTTCCCCCCCCCCCCCTTCTCCCTTGGCAGCAATTTAAGTCTTGATAAAAGCTGCAAAGGAAATGGGAGCACTCTGTCTTTCATAATAGGATTGTTAAAAAAAATCACTGCCCTGTGTCACAATCTGTTTTCTGCTCCCTGCTGACAGGCAGCCTTGCACTGGGAACAGGGGGACAGCACGTGGCTTAAAGGGACAGCAGGGACAGCTCCCGACCTGCAGCAGCCCAGCTCAGCCCCGCCCTGCCCTGCCAGCACCAGCTGGCCCCGAGGGAGGCCTGTGGGGAACGTCCACACACAGAATGTCACCAAAGCCAGCTTTTCCTGAGCTGCCACAGGAGGTGCTGCTGGATGGCACTTCCCACCCAGGGGCCTCCCAGATCCCCGGGGGTCTTTGGCAGCCCCGGCTGCTCCGAGCCCTCCTTCCTCAGGGGTTCAGCCTCTGAGGTTCAGATCCCGGGGATGTTGTAGGAATAATCAGTTTGGTGACAACCTCCCAGCTGACACCTGTTCCTCCTGCTGGGCCTTTCCTTCCCATGCACTGGAATTCTCAAAGCCTGAGCGGCCAGTGCAGGACTCGGCACCAAAAACCCCCCTGAGAGCAAACACAGCCCAAAGGTGGGACCACAGGTCCAGCACACTTTGCAGCAACGCTACCTGTTGAAACCAAGGAGTTTGCTCCTCCTAAACTCGGCTACTCCGGGGCGTGAAACACAAGGAGGAGGCACAAAACTCAGCTCTTATTTTTATGTCAGGCACCAAAGGCTCTGAATGGGACGACTACGAGAGAAATAGGGAAAGGACACCTCAGGTTC